GACATCATCAAGCCGCCAATATTCTTTAACATATTGTCGTCTCCCCAGAAGAACACAAAAAAATAATACTCTTTCTTACAAATGAACTTTAAAAAAAGCAAAATCAAAGGCCTGCGTGACATTTGAAATGCAGAAATGTTTTCCCTTCAGCGGTATAATAATGATACCGGCACAATGATCTTAGAACAACACGTTTTCTCTCAGGGACACATCAATAAATAACAGTTATTATTAGTAAGACAACCAATGAATGCTGACATTTGTGTAGATGGGTATATGAAATATCAGTGTTCATAATTAGAGATGGTGAAAGCCAAGGTAACGATATTGCATTTACTTTAGATTAAGGCACACTGTAATGTACTTGTTATATCCTGCGGCACTGTCTGCGCCACAAGGCCACGATGTAGACGGCGCGTTCAATAGACAAGCTTAACTTAATGAGTCAAAGTAGCAGATGAGTTTGAGCAAGGCTTCAAACTTAACAAATGTATTTGTTAATTAGTATCTGATCAAACGAAATATACTTGTGGTAGACATCGCAACCAAAATTGCATCTATCTTTTGATATATATATTATTAAATAATAAAATAATATTCAATACATAATATTAAATTAATTGAGGCAAAGAAATCTACCAATTATTCAGATCTGAAAGTAATGTGGTAAACTGCTAATCTATAGAGGGCAGTGTGTATAATAATAAAAGTGCATTAAGCATTATTATTACAAAACTGAATTAAAATAAAATGTCACATGGCCAGCGGAACCAGTGGCCCGCACACCCCCCCCCCCACCACTTTTTGGCAGAAAACATAATGTCTATGGAAATTCTTGTATGATCGGAAAGAAATGCAAGAAAAGAAAGAGGGAAAAAGAGAGTGTTTATCCAGTCCTGACCAAGTTAGATTTTCTCGCAATCCACATTGGCAGATCTGGGGGTCAGAGGTCCTGACCCCCCATCCCTTGGACAAAAAAAAAAATAAAAAGAATTCTAGACCCACCTTTTCAGGACCCGTGAGCTGAATATTTTTTGTTACATTAAGAAAATTAGAAGTTGGGAAAGCTCATTATCCGCCATCTAAGAATCAGCATTTTCTCGGGGAAGGACCCCGTCCCACTTTTATTTCTAGGGTTCATCGATTCATAGAAAAAAGAATACGTAACGTATGTATACCAGTACACACATATAGGACTATTTACTGTAATAAGAATGAGAAAAAATTTACCTGACCGTTTTCAAGGGGAAAAACCTTGAATTTTGAAGAACTTAAAAGTCTAAAAAAAATTTTCCACCCGTTAGAAATCAACATTTTCCAGGAGAGAATCCAAACCTCTTTGAGGTTCATTGATTCATGAAATTGTTTTCAAGAGGGGAAAACCTTGAATTTTGAAGAACTTGAAAGTCATAAAAAGACACCTCAGAAGTCAGGAAAGCTCGTTTCCTGCCATCTAGGAATCAAAATTCCTAGAAATAGCACTTTATTATTGTATACATTTCCAAATCTGCATGACTATTATGGCATCAATCGTGTTTGACATACACACGCAAGGTGTAGCCATATGCAGACTTTGATAGGAGCCTAGTGTTGGGTTGTTATGTGTCTGTCAGCTGTTGTGTAGGGTCACTGAATGTGTGTTTGTGTGTTACCATACTATCTTGGATCCTGATTGTATTCGTGGTAATGTTTGCTAATGACTGTGAGAGATCATCTTTGCAATAAGGGCTGTACAAAGTCTTCTCTTCATAGTATTGATTACAGCAACATCAAACATCATTTAAATGCTGCCATATTTTAATGTACCCTTCTAACGTGACTATGAACCAAGCAGCGATGGTTCTTTCCTTTATGGATTAGCTAATATAAATCATCAGTCAGCCCCTACTGAAGTCTTAATTCTCAATTTCTAAATTACCATACTGACTTTGATTACTAAAGCTAGCCTATAAATTTACAGGCACTGCAATATCGACTTTGACATAAATGTAAGCAATATCACATCCCAACTCTTAACTTTATAGGAACATATTTTTAAAATAGCAAGTGAGTAATATAAAAAATATATACAGGTAATATTATTTGAAAACCTGATGCTTCACAATTTCCACAATACTGCCACCTATAGTTTAATATTTATCTATTAGCAAAACTTCTTGTTGAAATGGAAACTGTGAGCACCCCCTCAGTGGTAGATAAAGAAGGCAGCACATTATTTTACCTCTCCTTTCTGGTTCTCTTTCCCTTCTTAACATTGCAAGATTCCTTACCATAAAAACTGAGTGAAATTACTACCCATATTCTTTTTTCCTTATCCCACTTCTTCACTAAATACCACTATGTTTTTGTTGGAGTTAGCATTTCCCTAGCTATGGACAATATATTCACTCTTCATACTTCACATCACCATACATGGACCTAACATGCATGATGCTTGGAATTACAAAGAGCAATGGCAGTACCAATAGAGTGCCCTTTTCTAAATAGTGAGAACAAAAGGAACAAATCTGAAATTTTCATGATGTGCTAATAAAATGTTCCTTAATATTATGTGTATTAATCACTTTTACATGCACAAGCTCTACAACACGTCAAAGATATTATATCAGATTCAGCAGTAAGCTATTATTTTCATGCCAATTAATAGTGGATAAGTAAGAAACCCGATGAAATATACTGTATAGTTTTTGCGTACAGCATGATACCACACAATTCTACCTCCACTGTCCGATGATCAGGACTCAAGAAATAGAAAACTCTCAGGGGGTGCTGAGGAATAAAGCAATTGATTTAGAAAAATCATATCACCAACGAGCAGGTTAACAACATGACCCTCCCATTTATACTCTTGGGTAAGGAGAGGCAAACGTAAGTAAAGTGTCTTGCCCAAGGACACAAGCAGTGCGGCAAGCGTCGGTCTCCAACTCCCGATCTCACGACCAGAAATCCAACAACTTACACGCTGCGCCACACGTTGTATGCCCATATATAGTCATGATGTGTCTATATATGGTCATGATGTGATGTGATGTCATCATGACCATATTTAGGCCAATCACATGTTTTTGTCCAATCAAATTTGATAGTCTGGACAGGGCTTGAACCTAATGTGTTTGATCATTTGAAATCAAATGATAATCAGAGAATGATGTAAAATGGCTGTTTAATTACAGAACCATATTAAAAATAAACCAATAAAAATATGATAGTGTTCATTGATATTCTACTAGCACATTCAGAACACAGTACATTGCTTTAAAAAAAAAACATTAAAACAGTATGTATTAAAAAAAGTCTCCCACTTATTGCTATTGCTTGGTTTTGTAAATATTGAAAATGCATTTGTGTACTGTATTTGAAGTAACTTCTATATATCCACATTTACAATGTAAATTGTAAATATACTATAATAATTTTACTAATTTTATAACTAATGTATTGTTCATCATTGTTTATGTGACGCTATTATTTGAATAAATAAATGAATGAATGAAAGAATTTTCTTGTTAGTATTGAAGATAATTAATGTTTTGTTTTTTCTTTTCTTTTTTGTTATTCTACGGATATGAAATTCTGAAATTAAAGATGAATTGAATCGAATTGAAATACAGACAATATCGAACCAATCCTTGCACAGGGGCATTCATGCAGGACTGTGTTATTCAATCTGTTGTGTACAATAATAATATATATGAACAGTCCACACCTGTATTGCTTACCCACTTCTAGTACTCTCAATACTTCTTATTCAGGGGTGGGCATATAAAAAAGGGTTGGAGGGCCAAAGCAAAACAAAGGGCTGCACCTTTATGCACTGCGTTTAGACAACTTTATTCTCAGTTTTAATATTACTTTTTACAGATGATCAGTGTCAGGCAGCACACATAGGGCTTTTAATATATTTTCGTATGACGCAAACAAATCGCAGACTGTCTGCATTTGAAACGCCATCTGCACTTTGCCTATCTGTGTTAATTTAATATGTAACCTTCAATTGTAAATTTTATAGGCATTTGACAATATATGAATATTTGTTTATGTTAATTATACTTTAAAAAAAAAAAACAACTATTGTATGCATTCACAAACTATGAAAATTAAATATACATGTATTTTTATGTGATTCGAGAATGAATAAATTAATTTGAATCTGAAATATGTTATTTGTAATGTACACACATGTATTCTTATACAGATTTAAATACATTTATTTTAGTTTAATTCATTGGCAAATCTTGTTATAATACTGCTTTATCCAAATATCAAACAATTTCCTTGAGCTTAATGTTAAAAAAACAAAAGAGGTTGTTATTGATTTTTCGCATGAAGGGCAATAGCGGAGATATCATCTATATTAATAATGAGCCTGTAAAACGAATTGCTTCATAAAGTATCTTGGGATTGTGTTTGACTGTTTGCTCTAATGGGGAGACCACATTGATCATATTATCAAGAAACTTACTTCTCGCATATACTGTCTGCGTAAACTTAAATGTTTTGGTGTTAATAAAGATATACTTGCTATAATTCTATAATTGTTGGTGCCTTGAGCTATTGTCTCGTGTATTGGGGAGGAAATATCACAGTGGGGGGGGGGGGGTGTTTGCCGTCGGTGGGCTCTGTCTACAGCGACAAGGTGGCATTAAAGTTTGATAGGTTTTTAATCGATCCTTCTCATCTTCTCAACTCTGTAATTGTCGCTTGTTTTATTGAACAGAGAGGTAGAATGCGGTCAACAAGGGCTCGCACTAAACCGCTATCAAGATTCTTTTATTCCCAGAGGAATCCGAGACTTTAATGCAAATCTCCAAAGATAGGCACTCAAATTATAGGAATTATAGAATTATTGAAATTAAAATTCAACGTAATTAAAAATAAAAAATATTTGTATTATGTATTTGAGAACGAGAAACATCTTTTCGACCATGTAATTTCCGATGAAAAGGATGAAATAAAGTTTATCTGTATCCGTTATCAAAAATAAATCTGAATATCTTTACCTGGTTTTCCTTATAATTCTTCATACGAAAATTGTAACCAAGCTGAGCATAGAAATTGTTACCAAAACTGAAGCACTTTCCCTCCTGTGTTACTATCACAGTGTGTCGGCTACCACATACCAGGCCAGTTATTACATGCCCTGCATCTAGTTTCACCTTTTGGGGGGTAGCAAAGGATTTCTTATTCCCACAACCAAGTCTGTAATAATAAATATATGGTAATTTATAAAAATGACAAAAAAAATAAATGTAATAATAGCTAAAAATGATAGATTGATGTGAATTTCAGCAATACAAAAAGTTGAAGATAATGAGTGGCCCATTTGTCAGTCTGCTTGTTTTCAAGCTATATACCGTAAAACCTTGAATTGAAGCCCGATGGGCTTAATCTTGAGATGAAGCCCATCTTGAATTGAAGTCCCCCCCCCTCCCCTCCCTTCTCTTTAGTTTGAAAAATTAGCCTCGAAAAGAAGCCCATCTCGAAATGAAGCCTATGGGCTCCTTTTCAAGATAGCATAGGCTTCTTTTTGAGATAGTACAGTACATACACTCTACATGAATTTCAAAAAACAAAAATAAATTTTAAAAAAGCTTGGTTTATACAGTAGTTTCATTGATTTAATGCCAGTTAAATACACTCCATGACACAGATTGATGTTATAGTGGCCTTATTTATTGTTTTATAATACAAAGAAGCCCATCCAAACTTTGCAAAAAAAACAAAAAACAGGGCTTCACTTCAAGGTTTTACGGTATCACAACAATTACACAGTGGCAGATGCACATATACCAAGCTTGAAGAAGCAATTATGGATTGATGAAAATTTCAGCGATTAGGCGACTAATGGATCGGAAAAGTCAACCAGTGCCCTTATTTGCATTACATAAGGGTACTACTGCTATCTCTGTTACAGTAAACTTCACATATTGATGTATTATTACTACAGTATTTTTGAGCAAGTCAAGTGCAAATACGAATCATCATCATATATTTTAAAGTCAAATACAAACATTTTAATATAATGTACGCTCTGTTTTTGAGTTTGATTTTTTCAAGCTTACATATCACAATTACACACATAGGCAGAATAATGCACACACACCAAACCTGAAGGGAAAAAAAATTATTGTGCATCTAACCAAAGAAATTATCTTATAAAATGCCTCAGCACCACATGCTATTATTACACTATGTAGCCTAAGGAGGTTTTCTACAGCAAAAGAAAATGCCTCCGGAGAAATGCACGTTGCCTCCAATAATCGGTTGTGTGGTCGCACACCTTTCCACCCTTGCTTGACAATATACACATATATACCGTCACAGTGATTACTTATATTCCATTTGCATAGCTTTCCTTTTTGTAGAAGATCAATCTTTGCAAAAAGGCTGAAATGAGTCTCCAATTCTCGTTGTCGTTATCATTATTATTATCATTATTAGTACAGCTGGTTATTTCATACTCTAGCTACCTATAGCATAGAAACTAAACAATCAAAAAACATTATAATTACTGTTCTTCATCATTAATTTTATAGCGAGGTTCAAATTTATAATCAAATTAATTCAGTCTGGTATACCATGCCAGAGAGATTCGATTTTTCATCATGTTTGTATCAATAAATATGGAACATTAGGTGACTAACAGATCAGAAAAGTCAACCAGTGTCCTTATTCCCATTACATAAGTGTACTACTGCTATCTCTGTTACAGTACAGTACACATATTGACGTATTACAGTAGTATTATGGTATTTGTGCACATACGAATCATCATCATATACTTTAAAATCAATTTTCCATGCTAGCACAGGTTTAAACTAATGGGGTTACCTGATGACATACTTTCATTGAAGTCTATAATGTTCTAAAGTAGGGTGTAAATGTTTAGCAGCAAGACCTCTAGCAATGCCCAGGTTTAATGAGGTCTACAGCGTAGTACGACGGTCGCACAATGAATCAACTTCCCAACCTGTGGGAGTTCAATGATGCGACACTATCTACTGATTGTCAGTGGCATTCTGAACGAATCATCACTAAAAACGATCAATTGCACGCGCGTCCCTGCATTGCGCTCTCTACAGAATTGCACTGACCGGCGACCGTCAGGTATAATGAGTGCTACCTATAAACAATAATATCCTTAGACTTTTGAACCATATATTTTCGTTCATTCTTTCAACATCTCTGATCCATCGGTATCCCTGTCCTGGCATGAATCCACACTCCACATCATAATACTCTTTCAAACACCTTCGTAACAAAAAGTCTGTAATTATGAATCCCTTTTGCCTTCATCTTCTAATCTGTTGGAACTAGGCCAACAAATTGGAATAACTTCTTTTGGGAAGAGATGAAGGTTTACCATTTTATAACTTCTTATTGCACAATTTTCATGAATAGCTGGTCCCGTACCATATAGTAGTATCTTGAATAATAATGAGAAGTATTTTGAATAAGGCCAAATAAAAAAAAACTATTGTGTTGGCTATGCCCGAACGACCAAAAATATACGAAATTGAGGTTCGGCATTTAATTTTTTTTTTTATTACAAAGAAAAATATTTTTTTAATGAGCGAAAAAAGGCTGGAATAGGCCTATCTTGCTGGACGGTAGCCGATGTGATAGTGTTATGCGATCGTTTTTTATTTTCCCCAAAACATGGCCAACAAAAGAATTTGGGTTTTTTTTTGGCCTAATATGAGAAAATACATGCAATATTATTTAAATCAAAAACTGAATTGATAATAATTTAATACTTACTGACCACTACTTCCATTGCCCCAGGCAAACACTTCATTGGAATCTACAGAATAATTATAAAAAAACATATTACATTAAAATTATTGCAAATTATCTCCATCTTTACCTTATTTTTAGGTCCTTGGATTCTGCAGGAGGCTGAAGAATTGTCCATTGTGTGGACAAAAGCTAGATTATATACCACAACATAGATTCTAGGCATCTGACTGGTTAAGAAGCAGGAAATAGAAAGTACTTTCCCTATGGAATATTACTTTTTGCCCTGCCGCACGATGTGCAATCTCTAGGCTGCGTTGCTATGTAATGACACACACAAACAAAAGGAGACACGACCTCTACGACGTTGAGAGAGATTGAGATTGGACGTTTGATCGCCTAAGCCTACTTGGTGTGTATTTTTTTCATTACTTTTCTACAGTAGAATCTATGTATGAGGTATATAAAAAAAATATTGACTAGTCTAGATTCGGGGAATGGTGAAATTTTCTTGAGGGCCGAGGATAGGCTACAGTCTACATATCACCTCGGGGCAATAGATTTCACCATTCCTCATGAGCAGTCAATATCTGTCTCCTACTATGACCCGATTAAAATCCCAGTAAATATTTGTTTTATATACAGGGCTGGAAATTAAGGCTCCTGATTTCTTAAGGTACGACAAGGAATTCAACTTTGTCACGCTCAGCGCGACAAGGTCATTTGATAGCGCGAGTAGATTTTGTAAGCGGCAGGAAGGTGGTTTCCCTCCAAATCCCAATTATTTTCAACTTGTACAGCCCATTATTTTCAGTCAGGCAGTACGCAAAACATGCTATCATTCATTTTACATGTACATCAACCAATCAGCATGACCTAAATTGTTTTAGTGTGACGTCACTACACTAAAACCATGTCGATGTGCGCTCATCTTATTCTTGGAAAATAAGCGATCTCCGTCAAAGCGAAGGAGACTGGTACAAAAACATAGGATTGCACGATTTTTTACTATTTTATTGAGTGCTACTCTTACCTGTACCTCCTCGTAATTTTGAACGTTTCCTTAACGTATTTGTTCATAAAATAGACTATGTACCGAAATTTCAAACGATCGTATACAGTATTGACTCATACGATGTAAACGGCCCAGCATCAAGCAATAACCAAAATTTAACACTAAATAGATCGTAAATAAATACAATTAGGCATCATTTGGATGATTATATTCAAAGTACTACCGGTATTAAGGCAGACATCTTTTATTAGAAACCAAACGAATTACCTAAACCTCATACATTATGAATTAAGATTACGCTTCTTCAATCATATGGCTGATGATAACAAAGGGTATAAGTACTCTTTGATGATAACCTCAGCCAGACTTCACGGAGTAGCTATAGTTTAACAACATGCATCTCAATGAGCAACATCTTGAAATTTACAAAAAACAAACAAACAAATAGGTCTCACAGCAAATTTTGAAAACTAATTAAATGAAATAATATAGAAAGCAAATCCTTTACTACCATTTATTTACTGAACGAGCCAATCGGCTTCTGACCTACTTTTGTTCGTATCGGCGGCGTACAAAGATTCAAATGACTTTGTGTCTGGTAACCTCGGTGTCTGGGTCTACCAGAAGAAACCTGGAATTGGGAACGTTTCTCACTGAATGTAGTAGACGGTAAGCATTGTTATTTCATAGGCAACTAGTAATGGGCCTCTATCAAACAATTTATTTCGTTCTTAACAAAGTATCAACAGAAAGTATGCAAAATGATTGTTTAATCGTGTTTTGGAATAATATAAAAATTGAATTGTATATAAATGAATATTTAAAGATTAAATTTTAAATGTGGAATTAATAAAGTGTAACAATTGAATTAATTGGTTAATTTAATAAAAAGATATATAATTCTACAAGGAATGTTTCTTGTTTTGACAACCAAAAAAAAAAACGTAACAACAAAAACAACATCAGTTAAACTGTGCTGTGTGATGCCAATTTTTCGGGCTTAAAACGAAGCCTAAATGGCCTTTGACAAGTGGGGAGCTGGAATCTCAGCACTCCCGAAATGTTGGTGAAAACTCTGGAACTCTGTTTAGGTTGAAATTATTATGTGTAAATTGATTTAGAGTTTTCCCATAAAGACAAAATTCCATCCACGCATATTCAAAATAAGTCAACCAATTTCTGTGCAAATGTTGCAGTAAAGTCGGCCGATGGCTATTGTAACCAATGTATAGGCATTTGCAGTGTTAATGCAATTCTGCAGACCTATTTTCTCGAAATTTCCTGCACAAATGAAGAAAAATACTGAAACATTTAAAGGAAGTATACAGAAAATATAATTAAAGTTTCAGTAATAATAACTAATAATTTTATAATCAATATATCAATCTACTTAAGTAACTGCAGATTTTGGCAGTCCATTGACTAGACAGTTTTTTTTTATATTGTGTATATCTGTTAATAATTAACAGAAATTTATAATTTTCTTAGAAATATTCCTTACAATTGAAACTTTTCTTGAAATACTTTCCCTTTCCTTCCAGTTAGGTTGAATTGCTTACCTTTGAACCTTTTTTCTTTACTATCCCTTTAATATCTATTTTCTTTTTAATATTGTTTCATCCTTTTTCTTAATTCATTTTTGATACTTACCTTTCTTTTAGTTTTTTCATTGTCATTTTCTTTCCACCATTTTACTTCTTTAGTTTTTTTTCTTTCCGTCCTTTTGTTATTTCTTATTTATTATTTTTCTTGGTTTTTTTTTCCCAATTTTTAAAAATCTCTTCTCTTTTTCTTTCATATCTTCTTTCTTGCATAATAATCCATGGGGAGAGTGTAGGTGTGGGTGAGAGGGGGTTTGTTAGGAAATATAAAGAATAAAATGTTGCACCGCGCTTATATCTTATGGGATGCGAAAAGGATGGAGAAATATGTGCTGCTAAAAAAATTACTTGTGCTACCAAATTTTTTGGGGGGGAGCCAGAAAATTTTGGCAGTGCTACCAAGAAAAAAAGTAAATTTCCAGCCTTGTATATATCACTACATACTCTTGATTCCCCATTCTTGAGTTGTTAAGAGGCCTAGGCTAGGCCTAGAACTTCGCTAGCACTTCATTGAGGCCTGCATTTGGTAACTCGGTAAATCACAGTTTGTGACTTCAAGATACTCTTCAAATATTCGGACGACATACTTAAACTGGTTTTTTGTATTATCGCTGGCTGCTGAACTCACTTAATACACTTCTCATGTTCATCAACCCGTTTAAATCTTAAAACACTCTGTCATTGTTATTCATAGTCTAACATTACACGATAATCAACTTCCAGGTCCTCAAATTAGGTCAAATTTGATTAAATCAGTAGAAGCATGCCCTCAACAATACGCTTAGCATAATTTTCTACAATGCGATGTCATATGAGCAAATTGCGAGAGGGCAAAACAAAAAGACTATTTCCCGGCTAGCTGTGCATGGCTGAAACTATTGCCTGGCTTTAACACTCAAATACCTAGAATATATAGTAAATGTGTGTATAAAGACCAATATTCATGTGTATAATATATTCAATTTATCAAATTTAAAAGAATAAAATGTGTCATTTGTCACATTATTACTTTAAAGTAATATAACTGTTACTATGATCACACAACGTAGCAGGCCTGCATGGCATTCCAAAAAAAAAAAAATATCGGTTCCATACGTAGCAGCTGAAATTCCATAATATTTATCTATTTATTATTAATCATCATGCTATTTTGAAATAAAGAAAATAATACATAATATTTTTGGTCTAATTTTTGTCTGAAAATTATTATGTACAATATATATTCGCAGATTATCAAAGATATTCTGATATAGATCAATAAATAGATTGATAGACAAAATCACACAGCCATAAAAAAAGTCAATAAAATACTGCAATATATTTACCTGTAACCACAACTGTATGACTTGATCCACAAGACATCAGTTTTACTCTGCCGTAACGACCATTTGTGGAGAAGTCTGGTAGAACCGCGCCAATTTCGACATCCTTACCATCTTGGTTGCCATTCTGACCGAACTCCCCAAATCCCCAGCAGAGACATTCAGACATCTCTTCTGATAAGGCACTACCTACACTCCTTGTTGGTGAAGCAACATCAATAAGTTCTTGATGTTTTCTATCTGGTGTAGCTTCCATTTCATCTGGTGAAGCTTCAACTTCACCACTAGATGGCACATCAGCATTGACTTCCGTATTCTCGAGAATACTAACCTCATTAACGCACTGAATCAATATGTCCACATTGTTTTTCTCCTCTGCTACAATTTCTTTTCTGCATCTTTCATCCATTGTTTCAAAGATAAGACCCCTTCACAAATCAAAACCACTAGCAAATGCAACTCGGACAAATTTTTCAGCAAAGAAACAGAATAATCGTCAGCTTAACTGATTTCAGTTAGCAATATCAGCTGGAGCTCATTAACAGCTACATTAAAAAAAAACATAGAATAATCATTAAAATTCTACTTAAACCAACATTCGCAATCAAATAAACATTACAAAAAAGAAAGATGACAATAGATAAAATTATGTTACGACCAATTAATTGAAGGTACACGGCGAAATACAAATAAAATTTTACGATTGAAACTTACCGGTAGTTAAAAACACGTTTTACTGGAATTACCGGTGCAACAGATGAGGATTGAGTCGCCAGCTGACTTAACTTCACGCCTCAGTGTCTAAGTTTTAAGCATTTATTACTGAATTAAAACATGAATGTCAATATCCCCCTTTCTTGTGAAGACATAAATTCGGCTCGTAAACGTACAGACATCTTTAAGCTGCTATGATCTCGGAAAGGAACGAGAAAATGGTTAGCAAACATTGACTAGTAATTTAAGCCAGCCAGTTGACTATGAGATCAATAGGACAATATTAGTTACTAATACCACAATTAAAGACCTCAATTTAGTGAATTGAATAGCTATTGAAATTAGCTTCTAGTGGCAATGTTGCTCATTGCCTAGACAAACTATAACACGTTCTTCATGATCAGGATTTCAACAGGGAAACAAATCGGAATCACAGCGACAGAAACAACCATTCTGAATATTTAAACGGCTCTCTGCATTATGTTGATTTTCACATGAAAAACTGAGCAAATACTGGATCCTTAAACACTGGTTACTCTGCCTTCTATTGTAAACATCACGACTCTCCTATAAGATAAAATGAGTTTTAAAAAAATAAGTTTAATTAATAATGAAATAAATACTATAGTGTAGATATACTGTTGTAGTTTTGCTCAATGATTTAAAATATAAACACAAAATAATAATGCTGATAACAATACTGTAACTATAAAAATATTTTTAATTATTGGGTTGAAAAAGTCAATTGATGTAAATGGCAAATTAAAAGCTCCCCACCTGGCCTGCTCACCCTCCCTTCTCCCAAATTTGTAAAAATTCTACACATATAACACTCTAAATTACTCAATATCGTTAAAAACTAAATATCTTATAATGGAGAAATTCTGTTAAAAATAGTGATGATTATGATGTTTTATGTGAAATATAATACAATCTTGATGTACAAAAATGATACTGGCAACAACAGAAGCCAACAGAGGTTTTGTTTGTAAGGTACACAGCCTCAAATAAGAGGGTTTCTGGTTCAATCCAAGCTAACCTCTTGTGCAATTCATACGAAAACATGGCAGTGTGAAAGACTGTAATAGAAAGCAACAAATCAGTACCCTTGGTACAGAACAAAATGAAAATTATAACTTATAAATGATAATAACATTAAATAATAGGCAGTAATAACTTAAGGCAACTATAAGACATAGTAGTTGCAATTGGAAGTGTATAAAAAATTATTTTTTATACTATTTATGTAACTCTCACCATAATCATCTTCATAAACTCACAATAGGCAATGCAGTAAATGCATTATTGATTATACGGCTATCATCATCTATTCCGGACCAAAATATTTCTGTTCATTGTTTTTTTTTTTTTCATTTACTGGGTAGTGCGGAAATAGTGCAGACATACATGTACATGCTAATAACCTATTTTTCATTATTTGAGCTTTCTTTATTCAGGACACAATTCAGTCACTAGCACTGCAGCTTCCAAAGGAAATGAGGGCAAGTATTGAGGTCAGTGCATACCTACAGTGGGAATCTTTATTGGGTAGGGGCTGATAGGGGTGCAAAGGTTAGTTCAAGAGATACTAGCTGGCAAAATAAAGGTGATATATGAGATAATTTTTAGACAAGCATCTAACCCATAGTCCAAAGCCTTACCACTACACAACACGCACCTACTATCATTTTTAACTGATTTACAATTTATATGTAATCAATTCTGCTATTAATGAGAGATCGTCAACAGAAGGCTGGCAGCGGTACAAGTGAACAAATATTACTGTAGACAATGATGAGACTAAGTAGGCTTACAACACGTCACTATAGTCACGCAAATTCCTAACATATGATTAACAACTGATTACACATTTAAAACTAATTGCATTTTTAGATTGTCTACCTTGCGAAAAGTCTACGGAGAAAATTGTTCATACAGTATGCATTTCACATTAATTTTGTGTTTAACATAGCTGTACTAAATTCAAACATGTAAATTGCATTAACAAAAAAGTTTAATTACCAGTTTATTATATACAAAAAATGTACAATGACATCATACTTTTGTTTGGTATCGGGCCCTTTTTAAATAAACTTAAAGAGCATTTTTGGGAGACATAAGGTTGGCAGATTTTGGCAAAAATTTTTTTTATTTGTTTTTGTGAAATTTGAAAATTTTTAATCGTTTTATAGAGTACTTTATCCTTTTTAGTTTTTTTTATTGAAAAATGTTTTGTATTTTTATATGAATTTTTTATCTCTTATATATTTATTGTGTTTGGCGACCCATTCGATAGAGATTTGATTCTCTTTTTGGGAAGCCTGCCTCCTTTTTGTCTGTTTTTTTGGTGTGTTTATATTGTAATCTGTTGAGGTGAATAAATGAATTGAATTGAATTGAATATTTCAATATGATTATCTTTGCTTGGACAAAGTTTGAAGAAGATCCAAGCACAGAAAGTGACCAAAGTGCCTGACAAAAAAAAAACGGACAGAGCAAAATCAATGGCTAAATGCAGAAAAAGCCAATTATTATTTGAATAGCAAAACAGTTTATTTCTAAGCAAATTGATTATTTAATTTATTTATCTTCTATTCATCTAACATTTAGTAGGATAAGCCACATAAGACAATTATACACAAAGTATTCTGTAGACTCATTATGAGGCTTAGAGTATAGTGTTTTGGGATACTAGTCAATTCGCCACCCTTAAAAACTCACCCCTTACCAACTCATCCCTTACAAACTAGCCCTTAAAAACCCAGCTTTCCACCTGAAGCTACAAAGTTGCCCGCCACAAACTCCACACCCTAAATCATACCCTAACAAACTTTCCCCTAAACAAACTTGCCCAATAAACGAACTTGCCCCTTCTCCTTCCTTCCAAGTTTTTGCTGCGAAGCAGCCAATTCATATTCTTGACAGCAATATGACCTCTGAAAGGTCATTGTTTGTCAAAAAACAAGGGCCTAAGACGACTGAAAAGCGGAGTTTCCTTCTTCTGTTCTGCCGGGTAAAATCAATTACTTTAGGCAACGTTTGTAGACTAACCAACACGTACCAACATCCGCATGTCGCGCTAGCCTTATCCTACTCTAGGCCTAGACTAACTAGTATGGTATAGGCCTAGCCTTGAAGGGACGAAGGTCCCAATGAATAACAACGTCGCTCCTTGATAGCTAACATTGTCTATTTAACATCACAATAATTCATTATTAGACCTATAGTTGTTTTTTTAACAACTAAAATAACGTCTCGTATCTATTGTCGTGACGTCATGGCTCGCTGGCTCACACACTTGCGATGTCTCGCACTTGTGATCAAATAACACGCTGGCTCACACTTTGGCAACACCCTTTGGCAGTCAACTCGCCCCTAGAAAACCTACCCTTGGAAACTTGCCCCATAAAAAAATGTACACTTCCTAGACCATGCAGTCTTCAAAATAAAAATTGTAACCTTTGGTAATCAACTACATTTTCCACATACATAGAAATTTTTGAAAATTTATTAAAAAAAAAACCTAAACCATAATTCACCACTATAGACACTTTTTGACAAAAATGAAAAATTACGACTTTGTTACCCAATGAGAAGTATTCTAATATAGACAATGGGTCGTGTCTCATATTATTTGTTATATTTTTATTATTTATTATTTTCACTTGACTCGCATAAATAATTTTGTTCGAAGAACATTTATATGCAGTTGTACTTCGCAGCACTTCACTTGCAATTTTCAATTTCTAGTATAAGTTGTAGTTTACTGTATTTACAGTATGTCTGCAATTTCAGAGTGGGAAAACCAATAAAGGAAGCAAGCTTCTGTACAAAATACAGAAACTAACAGCAGTTAACTTCACACATCAGGAATGAAGACCCGGATTCTCCGAATTTACAGCTCAGTTCCTCTGCGGACTTATGAGGCTCAAGAAGTCTGGCACACACTGGGTCAGCTGATGAGATTCCTCCAAGTATGCAATATGCTAAGACATGCACAATGAATTGGTTTTAAAAAAATGATCAGCTCACTGCAGAATGCCATCAGCTAACTCCATCATGTTACCAAGTGCTCACTCAGAGCGGAGAAGGATTCATCGGCTTACAGACAACAGTCTACTCGGACTGGGTACTTAGTGGAGTTGCCTGCTACTGCACCAAAATATTGTAGCACCAGTTACAGCAAGTGGACCCAATGACCAGGGAAAACAAAGCGCTTCGTAACCTAAAAGCCCGGGCACTTACTGCATGTGATGGTCATCAGCCGACGTATTTCCATGGCGAACCCAGTGACACGACGCACATGCAACTCATCATTTCTAATGACGATCCATTCAGACTACTACCGACAATCAGCAGATGGCATTGTGTCATCTAACGCTCACAGGAAGCAGAGTTGGATTCGTCGCCGACGGTCATACAAACATTGTACGACGCAGTGACGGCCAGGATTTAATGAAAAGGCATAAATACCGAGGAATACACAGTGTGTGCCCAGGTTTTTTCACTCAAGTTAAAATGTTTTATAGGATTAAACAATATAAAATATAATAAGTATTTAACACCTTGAAAGTAAAAACTTACAAGTTCCAGAGCTGTAGCCCCAGGATTCAAAACCAAGATCCTCTGATTAGCATTACTAACTGAGCTATGAGGCCAGGCTGATAGAAAATACAAGTATGGATTTTTCCGTAAGGAAAAATTTTTTCTGAGGATATTTCATAACAATAATGTGATAAATATGATTGTAGAGATAAGAATAGATTACGAAGGCTGCATACTTATTGAATTGCCATCGATTTTACATACAGTATAAGCTTTTGCCCTCCCACAAGGCGAAAATATTCTTGGGAGGCAAAGTTGAAAGGGAATCAAATTCTGCAACAATCGGAAGTAGTTCAATACCACAGGCTCTTCTTAGTTAATAAAAAAGCTCATTATACAATCATACTTCAGTTACATAAAGTAACTACAATTCAACTTACGACTCAGGAGTTCAACATAGTCTGTAGGTGAATGCAATAAAAATTCAATTTTTTTTTAGTAAACCAGCTGCATTATAATCCGTCTAAGGATCTATTTCTGAAACAGGAACGTCACATATGATAGGAAAACTATTCAAAATTCTATTACCATACATCAACATGCATATTCAGGTATAAAAACATAAACTTTACATTGATCATTATTAGCGCCACGTTGTCACTCTCTAGTATGTGTATTGCCTTTCATTTAATGTTTTTGTGAATCATTGTGCAATTTCAAGCTGCTGTCTCAGCCTGTGTTCGATCACATAAAAACATGGAACTTGAATAGAATTATAATTGAAATAATGCGCAGCGAGGCTGATATGTAGCGAAGAGGTGGCTCTAGAGGCAATAATGATGACGTATGAAGTTAATGGGAAGAATTAAACCTGCAAGTACTTTGGGTAACTGACAATTTATTACTAAACTTCAATAAGGTAAAAAATAATCAGGTTGCAGTGAAAATGAAAAAAGATATACAAGTGGGAGGAAAAAACAGGATGCAGAAAAGAATGCAAAAAAATCTTTATCTCTCTGTATGCAGCATTTTGCCATTTCATATTCATCCAAAAACAAAGAGTGTATAAATCCACAAAGTTGTACAATAAATTAAATTTAAAACTATAATGATTAGATAGCATACAAATATTGACTGCTCATGAAAGGAACGATAAAATCTATTGCCCTCATAGTGATGTGGTGACTTGGGGCGGCTGCAAGGGGGGCTTGCAAATGGTGGGATTGCACCTCTCTAAATTGTATTAGGAAAAATAATAGTATTTTATTGTTGATATGAATTACTGGTAAGAATTTTTCGAAATGAGAATGCAATTACCGGGTACCTAGAGGTTCATATTCTTAAAATGTTCGCACCTAAGCCCCAACCATAGTGGGACTGAGGTGGTGTTGACTCTCACGCACCCACTACCGCCAAATCCTGCATCTGTCCCAGATGTCTGTAGCGTAGGCCGTCAGGAAGATAGTAGGCCACGGTCTCCACACCATTGAAGGGGCTATACATTTCAACGTTTTCTGAATCTAGACAGTCAATATTTGTTTTATATACCTTACACAGATTCTACGAGGCTTAAACAAAGTAAAAAAAAAGAGTACCCAAGTAGGTGAAACGGCCAATCTCTCTCATCATAATCTCACAGTAAGTTGGGGCCTAAGACATCACATAATGATAGAAAAAAAGTCTGAAACTACTTTTATCCCCCGGAATTTATTAACTATCTCAACCTACTTCATAGGAGTGATGGTTGAAGTTACCATCCACTTATTAACAATCAGATGCCTGGAATCTGTGGTATATAATAATACAAAATTATAAATATAAAACAACATATTAAAAAAACATGTGTGATCAATAGACCTAAACTGGAATGCTATTTCTAATTATACGGATGCACGTCACGTAAAGTAACTGGAAACTAATTAACAAACGAGCTAATGTATTAAGGTTACTACAAAACAGATTACATTACTAAATTTACATACAAGGTTGCCAGATTCATTACAAAATGTGTGTTAAGGAGAATATTAGGAAATTATATAAACTCAACCCTGTAGTCAATTGCAAATCAAAGATGGTTTTTCAAACTAAAATGATTTACAGTTATAATTTTAGTAGTACATTTATAGTAGTAATGTTTGATATAAAAATGAAGCTTGACATTTTCCAATTCAAATGCAAAGGAGAATTTTAAAAATCAGATGGCCATGTATGTCATTACTAATGCTGAACTGCGCTACAAAACCAAAGTAAACAAAAATTAGTGAGGAAGTAAAAGCCAGAAGATGGAAGTGGATCGGCCATGTGTTAACACGTTGACTGCCAGACCTTTTTTTAAGGTTCCTTCCCGTGTGCCAAAACAACTTTACATGTACAAACATGCTTTTTTGAAATTTTATCTAGTCATATGTCATCAAAACGAAGTGTCTAATAAATTGGCGGGAAAATATTAGGGGGCGAGTATACTCGTCGATGGCACTGTGATAGAACTTTTTACTGACTATGCCAAGTGCGAGTTATCTCGTCCGCTTTTTGCATGTGTTGGTATATGTTAAAAGGGCGCTCCCACTTGTACCGCTCGAGTGTACTACCGGCAAAATAACACAACAGACATATATATGTCATTTGTACGTTATCGTCTAGGTGTATCTTCCACGAACTACCAGCCGTTGAGTTTGTGGTTCTACAATGTATAATAAAGAAGTTATAAATGCTAGAACGTTTCCCCAGATTTGACGAGTATACTCGTTCCTGGCGCACTCAGCAACACCCTGTGAGCGAGTATACTCATCGCTAGCAGCCAACGTGTTAAGGATGGATCCTGAAAGTCACTCACCTCTTCGCTACATATCAGCCTCGCTGCGCATTATTTCAATTATAATTCTATTCAAGTTCCATGTTTTTATGTGATCGAACACAGGCTGAGACAGCAGCTTGAAATTGCACAATCTGTCTCTTATACACATCTAGATGTGTATAAGAGACAGAATGTAAACACTGGGCGTACGCTGCGGTCGAGCACAATGGGCCAAGACCAGACATGCGCTGATTGTCACGTGTGGCAAATATCTGTGAAAAAGCTAATTACTTGTTCAGCCGTAAAGTAAGTCAATGCGTCTGATTTACGATATATTTCAAGCTGTACCATACTGAAGTTTTTTAATTGTGCAGAGGATATCTAAAAAATCTGCTAAAATTTGCGCGCAAAAACGCTGGGAAAAAGGTGCACGGAATTGTGATTGCTGCATAATTGCATTGCTAATATATTATTAAGATTTTGTTCAAAGCATAATTTTCAGCAAAATCTGCACTGAAATCGGCCCTTTTTTCCTGAAATGCGTGGACGGATTTCTAGGCCAAGTTTTGCCGGATTCCTAGGCCAAGCCTGCGTGGGGAACATATCCTCCATGCAGGCCTTACTAGCCTATACAGTCTTCAAAGGATCTTAGGCCTTGGAAAACAATGTATTTCATTACAAAACAATCTATTATTCAAATCTTCAAATTATTGGGTGGGATTATATTCAAGTGCCTCATTTTGCATGAAAATGGCACCAAAGTCAGACATGGGCTTCTACCCGCTTCAGTACTGATGTGGTTATTGTTCATTTATTAAGATCATATAATTATACCATGGAGGTATTATTGAGAAGATCACTCGAAAAAGCTACGCGCACGCACAGCTATGCAAATGAGCCAAGAAGAAAGCTGCCGCAGTGCGTAAGGAACGTTTGCGCGATGCCTTTGAAGTCTAATGTGTTCCTTGCCACCAAATGCTCAGCAGGCTTAGATTATCAAAAAATTGAACACGGCAATATGGAGAGCATGTTCTTTTCTCAATGCGCACTACTTACAGTCAATCATTATGGTTGCGCAATCGTTTCCATCTTGAAACCAATACATTGATCTTCCAAGAAATGCCAAACATAATAAGGTCACGTAAAATAAAACAATTGGTTAGCATCCCCGCCCGACCGTCAGAAAAGCCCCCGACATGAATTTTCCGACCTGAATTTTTTTTTTTTTTTTTTTTACAAAACACTCAAAAACTCCATCTCCCGAAGGCAATTTATATAGGCCTAGGCTTGCTTACCATCCGTCCGAACGCCAGCCGACGCCAGCCCTGCAGTTCCATTCCATCATCGTCCCGTCTAGGCCTAGTCCTTACTTCTATCTAGAAAAGGCCTAGTTTTATAGTGGTAGTATAAAAAGAGTGTATTTGTATAAACGGTATAGCCGATGCTAAGCATTAAGATTTACTCGGGATTAGGTTTATATTAGCAAACTAAACACCGATCCGATGCTTACGTCTCATGCTTTGTGCAGAAAAGCCAAGTCGGCCAATCAGCGCGTTGGTATTTCCATCACTTTGGAAGTAGACATCACAGCAGCGCGAAAGAGAAACAAGGAGGAACCGTGCTCTGTGTGGTGACCGGAGACAAGACAACAAACATGGCTGCGCCCATCAGTTTAAAACTGTGGCATATTCACTTCTTACCTGTGTGCAATATTTCACGAAATAAAATTTTAAAGATAAATTTTCATAGGTAGGACAGCATAGATAAATTATTACTGGAAATATAGTGGCGAGATAGTGCATGCGTATATTAGCGAGCAAACCGTCCGGCCGTCTTTTGGACTGCCTACAATTATTTAGGAAGGCAACTTTTACCGTGACGGCTTGGACGGCTTGGCCTAATCAGCTCGGCTTAGCCTAATTGGGCCTGGTCTACCTTTAGCAAATTCTTTATATATTCTTCAAATCTATCGAATGTTATATTAAACTAAAGGTAAATCATATTTACGTTTGATAAAAACAACGTTTATTGATTGAATGTACGTTTTCGTACCAATAATCGATGGGGATTACTAACGACGGACGTGGCCCGCCATCGGCTCAGTGCCACGCCCACTGGCTTCCATTTTGGAAAAACAAAATAGGCCGTCTATCTGGCGAAACCCCTGCATGGCATCAATGATGACTGATTTGTTGTTCCAACAAACCCAGTATGGTCCAGTTATAATTAATGTCCAGCAAACACAAACTTAAACACAAAGCATGGAATATTCACATGCTGGTACAGTGACGTGATGTTTCCAAACAGCTGGTCCAACTAGATGTCAAAGTGTTTATCAGCATAAACATAGCACATGATACTAGTGAAACTCATTAACAGTATTCACTATTGAGTATTATCACTATATGTACATACTCAATCACATAAACAATCACAAATAGTAATCAATTGTACAAAATGCCAGTTCAAAAATTATGTTTCTGTTTATGAAGGGACAATGAATTATTATACGACTATGACAAACTTCAATCTTCTTATTTTGCTGTTATTTTTATTTTTAATTTCACATCCAACAGCAATTACACTTGCCAATTAGGATGGAATGCTTTAAACCTGTTATCGATATCATCAGTTCTGTAAACATATACAATGTTGCATGTTTTAAAACTTCATAGGGATTTCAATATGACTGTTATTCATATAGGCAAAGCTTATCTGCTTGATATAGATGAATTACATGATTTCTTGTATCCAATTTTGCCGTC